AAATAATACATAATTTTCTTAGAAAATAGTAAAAATATAAATAGTGTTTTTTAAAAGAAAGATAATTACACTGCTGTCTCTCAAACAAACCTGGACTGTTTCTAGCCTCTGAGAGAATATCTCTACTTAACCACTTGTATTCTGTTACCTTCTCAAAAGAATTCATGGCTGCAACATTGGACCTGATGGATACACATGTTCTTTGTTGACCCTCTTGGCCACCAGGACTTACTATTCATTTTGATCTTGCTAGTATGAAAAATGGCCTGAGTACTGGTCCATCGCTTTGATGGCCATCATAGCTATGGGGAGGAAAGGATTTTGAAGATACTTTGAACTTTGCCTAGCAAGTTAAGTATGCTTTCAGATATTCTCTCATTTACTGTCACTTTAACAAGAAACCTACATAAGACAATGCTTATTTTCTTCTTCATATTTACAAATAATGAAGCCAATGGTTAGGTCAAGGAAACTGCTTAAAATTACAGTGGCTAAATTCAGGAGTTGATCCTTAATCTCAGATTTATCCAACTCTAAAGTTCATGAACTTTTCATATTTAATATGTTGGTATTTGATAGACTGCTTTTGTAGGTTCTAAACTTAGGAATTTTCCAAGTAGTTTAAAGTCATAGTTTTTACATTTTGTGGTTAGAAATAAAATTTACCAAAGTAAAAAATAGGATTCCAAATAGGTTGGAATAGGTTTCATTTTAGAAGTCAAATGTTAAAACTAGCTGCTTCCTTAGATACATATTCATTTGCAGTGTAGAACCAATTTAACAAATATGTAAAGGGCCTCCCTAGTGGTGCAGCGGGTTGAGCATAGTGCTGTGAAGCTGTCCACAGCCTCTGCAGCGTGGGTTCAATTCCCTGCCAGCCAGAGGGATTCCCACATGGCGCCCACAGACCTCTCCTGTCACGCCTGCTGCGCCCCTCAGCAGTGCTGCTTTCGGTCTGGCTGCCTGTTCTGCTCCCTGCTCTGTCTCTGGTGAGTCCTCTCACCCCCCACACCTCTGACCTGTACCCCAGTTATTGTATAAACAGAAAATAAATCTTTAAAAAAAATAAATTAGGTATATATCATTTAAAAAAAACAAATATGTAAAGAATCTTCAAATTGAGTAGAAGGCTGTTATTAAATATATCTTCTTCTGAACTCAAAAATTCTGGACAGCAGATTCCTTTCATATGTCTTTACTCCGATAGTTTATAATCTAGTACCTGGCACAGAAGTACTTTATAAACATTTATGCAATTAATAAATTGAAGATTAGCTATGTGAACTTTATTTCCTTGAAATCAGAAGTTAAATAAGACCCTGCTCCTTTGCTATGTCGCCCCCTCCTGTTTTATTTTCCTGATTCTTAATTATGTGTCTTCATTCTGGTTTATTGTCATACCTCCCAACACACACATACAAAACTATGATCTTCTATACATGGACTTTATTTTTTTATTTATTTTATTTTTTTTTGAAATGTGGGGTTATAAGTCAACTATACTTTTTTTTTTTTTTTTAAAGATTTATTTATTTATTTATACAAGCACTGGGTACAGTCAGAAGTGCAGGAGGGCGAGAGAATTCACCAGAGCCAGAGCCGGGAGCAGAGCAGGCAGAAGGACCGAAGCACACTGCTGAGGGAAGCAGCGGGCGGCAGGAGAGGTCTGCGCGCCATGTGGGACCCTCCTCCTGTGGCCGGGGAGCAGCCGGGGATCGAACCGGTGCTGCAGAGGCTGCGGGCAGCTTCGCACCCCAGTGTTCAACCCCTGAGCCACCAGGGAGGCCCCTATACATGGACTTTAAAAAGGAATTCAGGGGCCTCCCCGGTGGCGCAGCGGTTGAGCGCTGGGTTGCGAAGCTGCCTGCAGCCTCTGCAGCCGGTTCAATCCCCGGCTGCTCCCCGGCCACCGGAGGAGGGTCCCACATGGCGCGCAGACCTCTCCTGCCGCCCGCTGCTCCCCTCAGCAGTGTCCTTCGGTCCTTCTGCCTGCTCTGCTCCCCGCTCTGGCTCTGGTGAATTCTCTCACCCACCCGCGCTTCTGACTGTACCCAGTGCATGTATAAACCAAACAAACAAACAAATAATAAATAAATAAGACATGCCTCTAGAAAATTAAAAAAAAAAAAAAAAAAGGAATTCAGGATGGAGCTGGGAGAATGTTCAATGGTTAGACAAGGCTGTATCTGCAAGAAGTTTTACCATATACAAATGGTTGTCTCATTTTCCTGTTACTTGTTGGTTTTCCTAAATTTGAAGAATATCCTTGAGTGGTTTAATTTAAAATAAGATTCTGTGTTATATAGGAAATTAATTTTGGTTGGCCCTGGAAGGGAACACCTCAGACTTCTCCAGAGAATTTTAAACTGGGGTACATTAAGAGGCCCATGTAATTTGCTAATCTGAAAAAAAAAAACAGCCATATATTAAGGCTCCATGATCAGAGAAAATAATACTTGGGTTTAAAACCCAGTTTGACAGTCTCTGGATTAGAATTGTTTTTGCAGTTAGTTACTTCTCATGTGAACAGATCTATGTGATAATGTTCCCATTTAGGGATTTGCTAAATCAAATGTGGTTAACGGTTTCCGGGACAAGGCTGACTTGATCAACTAGTGGCAGAGTAAGAGCATAAATTTGTACTGTTGATGGCTAGGAGAAACCAACCAAGCATTGTATCCTTTTTTGCCAGTATCTAAGAATTATGTTGACTATACTCTTGGGTTGGACTTACTGTTTCGTGGTATCAGATATTTATGGGGAGTTGTTGATGACTTATGGGATCCCCAGGAATTATAAGAGCTATACCTAAAGCCCACAGTGGAAAATTGGGAAGTCTGCATAGCCAGGAAAAAACAGCTGCAGCTCTTGCTACTTACAAAAATTGATGTTACAAAGAAGGAAGTAAGGTTGTCACAGGGTGGGAAGGGGGACTCACCTTTGGCTTGTTGATTATTTCATTCTACGAAATAGAAACTGAGTGTTGTTCTGTAAGTCACACATTGAGGGCTTCAGGCTTTGTGTATGTTTGAAAGGCAAGGTGGTTTTCATCTTTCAGTTGGAAGGCTTTATCAGCACTGTTGTAGTTGGTCTCAAAGGAACTACATTGAACTTCTAGTAGATTTTAAAGATCATTTTTTAACTGCTTAACTTCTCACCTTTTATCACTTAGCAAATAATTTGGAATGACTCCTTGTTGTCATTTACATGAGTAAAATGGAAGTGATTATGGTGGAGTTTCCTGAATGTGTTAGTTAAATGAAGTTTGCAGATCCTAACCTTGTTAGCTTCCAGTTAAAGAGAGGAGAAAAAGTATGGAATTGGGGCTGCAAGATGCCTCCGTTGGTATAAGGCTTATATAGAAAGGTGAAATCAACCCCAGACTATAAGAAAAAGTAAGTTTGGCTATAGAGGATGGTATGAACTAAAGAAACAGCATAAGCATTGATAGGATGGTGACATTGGAAAGGAGAGTTGAACTTAAGTTTTATATTCCTGATGTGGATGTGACTCAATTCAAATTTCATTCTGAGGCTTCCTTTTCTGTACACTGCTTTCTCCCCACTTGCCTCACTCCCTCACTCCCTGTCACCCACATATACATTCATACAGAGAGAGATTAGAAGAGGCAACATCAAAGTGACAAAATAGCACAGAAGAAACCTAAATCAAGATGATACCTGGTTTTAGCATTTGCCATCTAACAGGTTACTTAGACCTTACTTAAGACCTTATAGATTAAGTTTGGATTAATAGGGATTTTGATCAGCAAAAAGGCAGTGTTGTTTTTATTTTTCTACTATAATTCTTTGGGAAGCCTACAGATTGGTTTTTAGTATGTTATAGGTCTCTTTCCAACTATATAACGCTGATCATTTTAACAGCTGCAGGTAAAACTACATTATGGAGACTTTGATCGCTCACATTGTTTTCTTGACTAGAGTTCTGCTATCGTGTGTGAGCAGTGTGGTGGGAATGACCCTGTAAGAGCTGGAGTGAAGCAGCTGTAACCAGTACACTGACACACTAACTTGTGTGTCCAGGAGGAGGGGAAATGGATGAATGAAAAGGAGCAGGATCCAGAAACTAGTGGTTAGAGTAGGTGCTTGAACCTCATTCTTCCAACTCCTTCCTTTAAATTTGTTTCTGACGATGAGGCTTGGAAGTTTTATCTTTAAAAAAATCTCAAAAACTTGTGAAAAGCGAGGCTTGGGATTTACAGACTTAATTCTACTCATGAACACCTCCAGGTGCTATCATTTTATTTTAGGAATTTTAAGAAAGCCTGAGGTAGCCTTTTTAAACTGTGGCATTGTGTTGGCAAAGTTTCTTAATCCCAGACCAGTAGAGTCATTAGATTGTAGAATTATAGGGGTCGCTAGAAATTATCCAACACAGAGATCGATGAACTATGGTCCTTAGGCCAAATCTGACCTGCCACATGTGTTTATAAATATAATTTCATTGTAACATAGCCACAGTCATTTTTTATTATCTATAGCTGCTTTTTTGCTGCAATGGGAGAATTTTGTCTTTGCAATAAAGAGATTAGAGGGCCTGCAGAGCCTAAAATACCTTCTTTCTGGGTCTTTACAGGAAAAGATTGCAACTTTTGAATAGACAGTATTTTATAGATGTAAAAATAAGACTCAAAGATAATGAGTTAAATAGTCTGAGATTACACAGCTAATTCATGATCAGAGTATAAAAACAATTTAGTTCTCCTTTTTCCTGCTTCCATTCCATCTTTTGTTGAAGGGAGTGATGCCCAGGTGATATCAGCAAAGATATTTGTAGTGTAGAATTTTGTTTATTTTATAAAACTGTTCCTGGGGACAGTAGTCCATCAGTTGATTGTATAAAAACCTTTCAAAACCTTTCAATTTGAGTCAGGAGGTAGAATCTGGTGGTGGTATATTCTGTGTCCTGAGTACAAACCTTAACTTTAGTCTTATCTGATAAGCAGTTTGATAACAAGATGTTTTTTGTTGCCTGTGCAGCCAAATGGACGGACTATTGAAGTAGCTGAGGAGGACGTTGTCCGGACTCCTCGAAGTGTAACAGCAAAGCAGCCAGTGGAGACAGACAAGAAAAATGAAAAGGTAAGCTTGGAAGTCTATGAAACATAGCAAGGTTCTTAATAAAGAGAGTAACATACTGAAATGAAAAAATTTAAGTTATACACCCCATTTAAGAAAAACAGAAAATCTGAATTTATTGTAGTAAATGGATAGTGAAAGTTTAAACTTTTTTTTGTAAGAACACTGTATCACTGTATCACTGCAAGTATTTTAAACATTGCTGTGGCATTATTAAATATTCACTATACCAAAATTAATTTATTTTTTTTAAAGATTTATTTTTATTTATACAAGAACTGGGGTACATACCAGAGGCGTGGGAGGGTGAGAGGATTCACTAGAGACAGAGCGGGGAACAGAATAGGCAGATGACCGAAAACACTGCTGAGAGGAGCAGCGGGCAAGACAGGAGAGGTCTGCTGCACCATGTGGGTATCTCCCTGGCCGGCTGGAAATCAAACCTGCACTGCAGAGGCTGTGGACAGCTTCACAGCACTGTGCTCAACCCACTGCACCACTGGGGAGGCCCAAAATTAGTTTATTCATGACTTGAACTTTTTTTATATGAGTGAGATTTCTAATATATAACTTTTATTTGAAAACAATATTGTGCTTCCTTTGTTCATATAATAGTGCACTTGTGGCATAAAAAATTTAGCAAAATTGTCCTATATTATTAAGTGTCGGAGCAGATTTCTGTTGTGATAGAAACATAATGGTGTACTTATTAGATAGTTTGACTTTGTGTAACAAAAGGATATGTTCTATACTCAGGTCAATGTTAAGAGGTCTGTGTGTCCACTGTTACATTTTCAAATAAGACAATCATCATACCCTATAAATGGTTTATTTTGGGGATTTTATTAATTATTTTTCCAGTTGCCAGTGTTAGAATTGACCCATTTGGATTTGAATTTGATTTGAAAGTAGGCAAAATGTATAAGAAACTCATAGTAGTGGTTCTTTCTTTTGGTACATTAAATATTCCCCTCCTTTTTTTTTTTTTTTTTAAACTCTATTCAGGAAAAACAACCACAGTATTTTCTAGGAACTAAGGTGCAACTGTTTCATCCTCATAAAATAGTGGTTCCTGCAATTTCTTAATGCTTGCAATTTCAAAATATCTTTAAAAAGTTGGTGAGATCAGTTTTCCCCCTATAACTCAGTGAAATTTGTATAGGGTCAAAACAGCTATAGGTAGGGGCCTAAAATGAAGGATAGTTGTGAGAAAGAATTAAATGCATGTGTGACTTTGCCTTTGACAGAAAAATAAATAGTAAATGATTTATGTCAGTAAATATGCAGCTAATTTAAGGATTGTGAATTTATAGCATGAATAATTTATATGGCTAATACAGATTTATGCTTCTCTCATCTAGTATTTTTTAGATTGTTGACTTTCTACTGTTGAACATTTTATACTTATTCCTGCTTCTACACCCTGAAGTAGCCTGAAAAATTTGTAGTTGGAACAATTAATGAACTTCCATTTATCTCTGATAATTGAACATATAGATTAATTAGATTGGGTGTATCAGGATAAAAAAACACCATTTAAAAACCACTATTTGAGGGCCTCCCCGGTGGCGCAGTGGTTGAGCACTGGGTTGCGAAGCTGCCCGCAGCCTCTGTGGCGCCGGTTCGATGCCCGGCTGCTCCCCGGCCACCGAAGGAGGGTCCCACATGGCGCGCAGACCTCTCCTGCTACCCGCTGCTCCCCTCAGCAGTGTACTTCGGTCCTTCTGCCTGCTCTGCTCCCTGCTCTGGCTCTGGTGAATTCTCTCACCCTCCCACACTTCTGACTGTACCCAGTGCATGTATAAACAAACAAACAAACAAATAAATAAATAAGAATACATGCCTCTCTCTCTAAAAAAAAAAATAATAAAATAAAATTAAAAAAAAAAACCACTATTTGAAATTTCTTATGTTAGAAAATAATTATAGCAGTTGACATTATTTATAATATGGTTATTTTATTTATTCTTGCAAGAACTCTAAGGAGGTGGTATTACACCTATCTTACAAATAAGAAACCGAGACTTAAATTAACTAAGCTATTAGAAGTGTAGTCAGTTCTAACCCAGATTATCTGACCTCAAAGTCTGTGCTCAGTAGCTTTCTGTTCCTCTCAAAAACTTTTGTCAGGGAAGTAACATTAACCACATTTTATAGAGGGGTTATGTAGTTTCATTAATTTAATACAGTTTCTGAAGTAGGATTTGAACCTTATTCTCATGTCAAAAGTCAGAGGCTTTTTACTTATTTTATTTTTTTTCAGAGGCTTTTTAATCAATTGACAGTATTTTCTCCTTTCAGTTGCTGTTGCTTTTTTAGTACAAAGCTTCTACCTTGAGTTTGTCATCTATTTCATATGACTTTTCGCATAGTAAATGTTACAACTCATGACTAGTGTTTCTTTTTGCCATCCTGCATTTTATAGCATATTATGTTATGCTTTCTATCTTGGTTCATTTCAAGCAACTGATGCTATTATAATAAATTTGGTTTTTTTGTGTTTTAAATATGTGCTGTTTTTTAAATACTTTTTTCCCTTGTAAATACATTATTTTAATACATTATTTTTCTTTGTAAACAGATCTAAGCACATCTTAGATCTGCTTAAGTACCGTAATATACATTTTTGTGTATTTGCTTTCATCTCAGAACCTATATCTTGGGCCCTTTGAGAAGTATGATTTATGATTTACAAGTAATTGCATTCTAAGCTGTGGTATTGAATACCTTCCCTTGTTAGTTGAGTAAACCTTATAATAAGAAATTTTTCTAAAAACTGTATATGATAACGCTTCTAGATCTTGGCTAAGCAGGTTAAACTACATAGTTTTCTGGGTCTTTATTTGAATATAAAGGTCAATTTGAACTGGGCTTACGAGAGTATATATTAGACCATGAGCCAGACTGACTGCATTGTGTTATACTGCATGCTGAAGGGAATAAAGAGAAATGTAAGATGTACTTACCCTCAGAAAGATTACAGTTAATTATAATTAAGGAAAGGCAAGCTCAAGAAAAATTATCTGGTAATATAGTCATAAAGTGCCAGATATTCAGAGGAGATTTTCACTGTTTGGGTACCCAGACAAGACTGATTTAATTGGACTGCTAAGGATGCATATGGCATTTCAGTAATCACAAGTGGAGGGTCTAATTTTTGCAAGGAGAGAAACAAATGAGCAAAATCAGACATACTCAGCAGAATGGCTAAAAAGATTGTTAGTAAGAAAAACAACTGAAGCAAAAATATATAAAATTTGGTCACCATCAGGTTGTTTAGAATAAAGTCAGTTATGTCCTGCCAAAATACTGATAACATTCATTTTAAGTATTAGTAAGCTCTGACATTTTAATGATGCTGCACAGTTACAAAATCTTTTCACTTCTCTTAATCTTGATGAACAGTTCTGGCCTTTTTTTCTTTTTTCTTTTTAATAAAGCTCATTAAAAACTTAGTGAATTGCCCAAGATTACTTTGCTGCTAAGTAATGTTCCCTTAATTTCTCTGAATAACAGTGCTCAAAGTGTGGTCCAGGGACCCTTTTTTTGGTCCCAGAAGACAAAAACTATTTCCTTAATAATTCACATTATTTGCCTTTTTCATGATGTTGATATTTGCACTGATTGTGCATAAGCAGTAGTTAGAACTGCACAAATCGAGGAAGTGATACCAAACCACAAACGGTTGTGTTCTTCACTGCGGTCCACTCACAGCAAAAATAATAATGCTAGTTCACTTAGTGTGCCCTTGACAGAGCAGTAAGAATAATTTGATTAAGTCTTGACCTTTGAATACATACTTTTTAATTATGAGAAATGAGAAGTTTGTGTAAAGTATGCTGCATATGGAAGAGCAGTTTTTATCTTGAGGAAAAACATGTGCAATTGAGTTTTAAACTAGTTTAGTCACTTCAGATTACTCCATTTTTTTAAAAAGATTTATTTATTCATACAAGAACTGGAGTACAGGCCAGAGGTGTGGGGGGTGAGAGGACTCACCCGAGACAGAGTGGGAAACAGAACAGGCAGACTGAGCAAAACACACTGCTGAGGGGAGCAGTGGGGGAGTCAGGAGAGGTCTGCTGCACCATGTGGGTAGCTCCCGGCCGGCGGGGGTAGGGGGAATCAAACTTGTGCTGCAGTGGCTTCGGATAGCCTCATAGGCTGCGAATTAACCCCTTGCGCCACCAGGGAGGCCCCAGATTACTCCATTTTTACTTGAAAGAACACTGATGGACAGGCCATGTTTAGACTTGAGTATTTGCAAACATTTTCTCCAAAATAATTAATGATTCTGTCATTTCCAGGGAAACACCTGATGTATTATATGTTGCAAATGATAAAATATCTTGTTGCCAATAAAAGATTAGAAATTTGAAAAATTTAAATCCACCACCATGAATTTCAGGAGTTCCTAATACTCAAAGAATTTCTGATATCTATTGGTTTTTTTTTTTTTTTTTTTTAAGATTTATTTATACAAGCACTGGGTACAGTCAGAAGTGTGGGAGGGTGAGAGGATTCACCAGAGCCAGAGCGGGGAGCAGAACAGGCAGAACGAGGAAACACACTGCTGAGGGGAGCAGCGGGCGGCAGGAGAGGTCTCCTGCGCCATGTGAGACCCTCGCCCCGCAGCCGGGGATCGAACTGGCGCTGTAGAGGCTGCAGGCAGCTTTGCAACCCAGCGTTCAACCACTGCGCCACCAGGGAGGCCCTCTGATATCTATTGTAATATTAACATGTGATTTCTAAAAATATGTGTGTGTTATATATATAATGGAATGTTTCAGCATTTTGGAACATTTGAATAACTCAGTGAACCAATATTTTCCCAATGACCTATGCAAGCGCGTGTTACAAAATCAGGCAAAAGTTGCAAGATAGACCAATGGGTTTTATTTATTGTAGTAGAATATGGAAAGTTCATTGATGCAGTTTTAGCTTCCATATTGAAACAATTTTTAAGATGTTGCTACTGGACACATTTTGGTGTGATATACTTT